GAAAGAGAACGAGAAGAAAAAGAGAGAAAGATGTTCCATCCGTTGGTTTAGGCCCCAGTTGGTCACAGCAGCCAGGAGTGGGCCAGCCTAAATCCAGGAGCCAGGACTTCCTTCCAGGTGCCCTAGAAGCAGGGGCCCAACACTTGGGCCATCTTGCACTGCTTTTCCCGGGCACGTTAGCAGGGAGCTGGATTGGAAGTAGAGCAACAGGACATGAACTGGCACCCCTGTGGGATGTTGGCATTGCTGATGGTGGCTTTTACCTTGTACACCACAATTCTAGCCCCTGTTTAACCTGTTAAGTTAGAAACTGCTTCAACCTCCTTTTATTTCCTTAATGCCTTTAATTTAAGCAGTTACTAAATTCTTCTCAGTTTTCTTCAATTATCTTTTATTTTACTCTTCTTTGGATCCTTATTCTTTTTTTTTTTTTTTTTTTTTTTTTTTTTTTTTTTTTGACAGGCAGAGTGGACAGTGAGAGAGAGAGACAGAGAGAAAGGTCTTCCTTTGCCGTTGGTTCACCCTCCAATGGCTGCTGCGGCCGGCGCACCGCGCTGATCCAATGGCAGGAGCCAGGTACTTCTCCTGGTCTCCCATGGGGTGCAGGGCCCAAGTACTTGGGCCATCCTCCACTGCACTCCTTGTCCACAGCAGAGAGCTGGCCTGGAAGGGGGGCAACCAGGACAGAATCCGGCACCCTGACTGGGACTAGAACCTGGTGTGCCGGTGCCGCAAGGCGGAGGATTAGCCTAGTGAGCCGCGGCACCGGCCTGGATCCTTATTCTTAAAAAGAAATTCATTTTTGGGGCCAGTGCTGTGGCATAGTGGGTAAAGCTACTGCCTGCAGTGCTGACATCCCATATGGGCACCAGTTCAAGTCCCTGCGGCTCCACTTCTGATCCAGCTCTCTAGTTACGGCCTGGGAAAGCACTAGAAGATGGTCCAAGTCTTTGGGCCCCTGTACCTATGTGGGAGACCCAGAAGAAGCTCCTGGCTCCTGGCTTTGGATTGGCGCAGCTCCAGCCATTGCAGCCAAATGGGCAATGAACCACCAGATGGAAAACTCTGCTGCTGCCTCTCCTTCTGAGACTTTCAAATAAATAAATTAACCTAAAAAAAAGAAATAAATTTTTTATTCTACACTTTGTTTACTTGTAGATATCTGAAACAAGTTTCATGAAATAACATTCCTTCTTAGAATGTTTGATGTACTCTGATACTTTTTGTCCTGTTATATGTCATTAAGAAAAGAAGCTAGTTACAACCATTAAAACTCACTTCACAGTAGTTTGAAATATGCTTGTCTAGATTTTTGGAATCTACAATGTTTGGATTACCATTAAACAGTATAATGTTTAATCAAAGATTTATTTTTAAAGATTTATTTATTTACTTCAAAGTCAGAGTTACACACACACACACGCAGAGAGATAGAGAGGAAGAGAGAGGTCTTCCATCCAATGGTTCACTCCCCAATTGACCGCAACCACCGGAGTTGTGCCGATCCAAAGTCAAGGATTTGGGCCATCTTCCACTGCTTTCCCAGGCCACAGCAGAGAGCTGGATCAGAAGTAGAGCAGTTGGGTCTCGAACCAGTGCCCTCATGAGATGCTGGCACCTCAGGCTAGGGCATTAACCCGCTGCACCACAGCGCCATCCCCTCCGAAGATTTTTAGTGAAATAGAAAATAAATCAAGTCCCCTCTATCTGTCTCCCTCTGTCTGTCTGTAACTCTCTCAAATAAGTAAATAAATTTTTTCTTTAAAAAAAAAAAAGGCCAGGTGCCAGCACCTTGGTAGGTTAAGCCTCCGTCTGCACCCTGTATGGGCACGTATGATCCATATGGTCACTGGTTCCAATCTAGCTCCCTGCTGATGGCCTGGGAAAGTAGTAGAAAAGGGCTCAAGTTCTTGGGCCCCTGCACTTGCATGGGAGACCCAGAAGAAACTCCTGGCTTTGGATGGGTGCAGCTCCGGTGATTTGGGGAGTGAACCAGCACATGGAAGACCTCTCTCTCGGCCTCTTTCTGTCTGTCTGTAACTCTCAAATAAATATCTTTAAAAAAAAAAAAAAAGCCACATAGCCTTTAAAAAAGAAAATAGATCAAGTGACTGGGGCTTAGAGTTTATTTAGATTGTGCTTTATCTTTGTTCACCATCAGTTGTTTAGATTTACCTTTCTCATTTATTTATTTGAAAGGCAGAGTTAGAGGGGGTGAGCGACATACAGAGAGAGATCTTCCTTCTTCTGATTCACTCCCCAAATGGCTACAACAGCTTTGCCTGGGCCTAGGCCAGGCTGAAGCCAAGAACCTGGAGCTCCATCTAGGCCTTATACATGAAAGGCAAGGGCCCAAGGACTTGGGCCATACTCCACTGCCCTCTCAGGCACATTGGCAGAGAGCTGGATTGGAAGTGGAGCAGTCAGGGCATGAACCTGCTGCATTCTTATGGGATACCAGCACTGCAGGAGGTGGCTTTACCTGCTTTGCTACATAGGACCCCTTTCAATATGGTTTTGCTGTTGAAAGTAAGAGGGTTCATTGTGCATATTACAGAGCTGGTATAGAATGAGAGTACTCTGCAGTTGGGGCACAAGTTTCTCAACCATTTCACATACGAAATATTTTCTAAGAAAAGGAATTGAAGTGCATGGGTTAAAAAGTAGATAGCATAATTCTTCAAGAGATTTGAATAAAATTTTGTTATAAAATATTAAACATTTTAAAAATAGGAAGAATAGTATAACAAATCATCATTACCTAAATTTACTTTCAATAATAGCATTATGTTGATTCCAACAGGAATCTTTAACAAGTTTTCTTTAAAATATGTATTTATTTATTTATGTATTTGAAAGTCAGAATTACACAGAGAAAGGAAAGGCAGAGATGTCTTACATCCACTGGTTCACTCCCCAGTTGGCCGCAACAGCTGGAGCTGTGCTGATCCAAAGCCAGGAGCTTTTTCTGGGTCTCCCACGTGGGTGCAGGGGCCCAAGTAGTTGGGCCATCTGCCACTGCTTTCCCAGGCCATGGCAGAGGGCGAGATCAGAAGTGGCACAGCCAGGACTCAAACCAGTGCCCATTATGGGATGCTGGCACTGCAGGCAGCCACAGCGCTGGCCCCCATAACAAAGATTTTAAAGCATATAAAATTATCTCCTTTAATGTAATTCCCTCCTTTTATATAAGTAGATGATCTGTTTTTCAGAAGAGGTATATCAGCCTTAGTGTACCTTGCTTCAGTGCCCACAACCTACAAGCCTAGGAAGAAGAGTAAGTAATTACATGCTATGTGAAAAAAGGGATGGTGTACAAATAATCTGCCCCATTTAAGGGATTTTACTTATGGCCTCCTAAGAACACTATACCCATGCCCCTCTTACATGAAGTATTTCTTTTTTTTATAGAACTTTATTATTTATTCTAGAGAGTTAGAGAAGGAGAGACAAAGAGGTCTTCAGTCTACTGAATTACTCCTCAAATCTCTGCAACAGCTGAAGCTGAGCTCATCCAAACCTAGCAGCCAGGAGCTTCTCTGGGTCTCCATGCAGGTGCAGGGACCCAAGCACTTGGATCTTCTACTGCTTTCCCAAGCCATTAGCAGGGAGCTGGATCAGAAGAGGATCTGGGACAGGAACTGGTGTCCTTATGGGATGCCAGTGCCCAGAGGCTTAGCCTCCTATACCACCCTTGAAATGTTTCAACAACATCTTTTACCAGTCTCTCTAGCACTCTCTCAGTGCCACTTAATTTCATTTTCACAAACATTTTAAAGTATTATGATGTTTTAGGCTTCCATGTCTCCGTTTTAAACTTCCTTGTTTTTTTCCTTCCCTACATAGGGCTAAAATCCCACACAGTAGATTTTCATTTATAATCTGGCTTCACCCCATCTTTCTTCTTTTTTTCTTCTTAAGATTTATTTATTTATTTGAAAATCAGAGTTACTTAGAGAGAGTAGGAGAGGCAGAGAGACAGAGAGACAGAGAGACAGAGAGAGGTCTTCCATCTGCTGGGTCACTCCCCAGTCGGCCGCAACAGCCTGAGCTGCACCGATCTGAATCCAGGAGCCAGGAACTTCTTCTGGGTCTGCCACATGGGTACAGGGGCCCAAGGATTTGGGCCATCTTCCACTGCTTTCCCAGGCCATAGCAGAGAGCTGGATTGGAAGTGGAGCAGCCAGGTCTTGAACTGGCGGCACCAGTATGGGATGCTGTAGGCAGCTGCTTTACCAGCTACACCACAGCACCGGCCCTCACCCCATCTTTCTAGCCTTTGCTTCCATGATCTGTTTCTTCCCTTCCATTTTTACCTTCTTACTCCTAGAATACTCATTCCATTTTAAGACTTAGATTATTTTTCTAGTTCTAATTGAGACATTATTTTGTGGATGAGGCCATTTTAACCATCTGAGGAAAAAAATAATTCATCAGCTCATTTTTGTTTGATGTGTCTGTGTGGTGCCACTTAATTGAGTTATTTTTTATCTAGCAGTTTAGGTTTACCTGCTCTGCACCCTTGGTTACACAGTATTCTCTTCCAGAGAAGGGATTACATCTTACTCTTCTTTGTCTCTTAAACATTTCTTTGGTTCCTACACGTAGTAGGCATCCAGTAATTGTTTGTTGAATGAATGTATTCTTACTTTTAGAATTTTAGAATCCAGTTCTATTACAGATTCCAGATAGGAATGGTGAATCAAAGTTTGTTTTTTCTTGTTGTTTTAGTTTATATTTGGTTTTTTACTTCTCTTCTTGGTGATGTTTGTTAAAATTTCTACAGAGAACTAAATTCCATAGCTTTTTCCTTAGGTGTAAATACTCATATACTTTAGTAAGCTAGTATAGAGTGTACATCTTAAATATCCTACAGTAAAGGTAAGTAAAAGCATTCAGTATCCTTAATTTTTTCTGTTGAGCAGTATGATTTTGTGAGTTGGAATAGATTTCTTCTGTAAACCTTACAGTAGTCTTGACTAATTTTTAATACATTTCAGCTCATGGAATGCTGTGTAAATGCCCTGGTGACATCATTTAAAGAGACTATCTTAGCGGAGTGCCAAGGCATGATCAAACGAAATGAAACTGAAAGTAGGTAAAAACATCATATAAAGTTATCGTAATCTGTTATCACTGAAGAAAATCACTTAATAAATTGCTGTTAAGTCATTCTTTTACACATAGTTGTATTTGTAAACTGTGCTTAAGGAAGTTAATAAAATATTTTATATGGAAGCAGAGACTTAAGTATTTTAACAGAAACTTAAGTATTCTCCCCCTTAGATATTTATACATATATATATATGTTAGTGTATATGTAATGAATTTCCATTTTATATCTCAAAGTAACATTCTGCTTTTAAAGGTGCCAATTTTAATTTGTAAACAAATAGTATAGGATAGAACTAGGTATTTGATTTATATGTGGAACCTTGTGGCTAATTTTTTAGTATGTAATAAAATTTTCTGTGTTACTAATTTCCATCTCTCCCTCCAAAAAGCATTTAATAATTAAGATTTTTTTTGTTGATGAAAAAGTTTTAATATAAAGGCTAACATGTTAAACGTTATGAAATATCCTTATCTTGATAAGGTCAATATTTGAAGTGTGTGTTTTTTTTTTTTGTTTTTGTTTTAAGATTTATTTATTTGAAAGGCAGAGTTACAGGGAGTCTTCCATCCACTGGTTCACTCCCCAGATGGCCACAATGGCTGGAGCCTGCACCAATCCGAAGCCAGGAGCCAGGAGCTTCTTCCAGGTCTCCCATGCGGGTGCAGGGGCCCAAGCACTTGGCCATCTTGAAGATTTATTTTATTTATTTGAGAGGCAGAGTTACAAAGAGAGGGAGAGAGAGAGATAAAGGTCTTCCATCCACTGGTTGATTTCCTTAATGGCTGCAGTGGCCAGAGCTGGACCAATCTGAAGCCAGAAGCCAGGAGCCTTTTCTAGGTCTCCTATGTATGTGCAGGGGCCCAAGTACCTGGGCCATCTTCCACTGCTTTCCCAGGCCATTAGCAGAGAGCTGGATCGGAAGAGCAGCTGGGACACAAAACGGCACCCATATGGGATGCCAGCGCCACAGGCAGAGGAGAGGCTTAACCTGCTACACCACAGTACCGGCCCCTTAAATTTTCTCTTAATAAACTTACATTTTGAAAAATAGCAAGTATATAGCAAAAAGAAAAAATTTCCTATATCCTTAAAACCCTGAGATAACCACTTTTCACATTTTTATGTATTACTCTATAAACTTGATTGTGTCTAACTACAAGGTCTCACTTCATCTCCAGTTGAATTTAGAGTACATATTTCAACTGACTAAATGCATTAATTTTTTTAGAAATTCTGTAGTGAAGAGCAAGTTACTCATTGCCATAAATGAAGTATTTGAATTCTGTTTGCCAACCTAAGAATATTTATATCTGATTCATATTGGACTACCTTTGAAAGTATTTATTTACTAGTAACCAGTACTGAGATATAAGGTTTTTGTGAAGGTCAATTAAATGGTATAACATATGAAGAAGTGCTCTGTAAATTAAAAATTAATACAATTTTATGTTATTTAAAATATCATTTTTTTTTTTAATTTTTTTTTTTTGACAGGCAGAGTGGACAGTGAGAGAGAGAGACAGAGAGAAAGGTCTTCCTTTGCCGTTGGTTCACCCTCCAATGGCCGCCGCGGCCGGCGCGCTGCGGCCGGCGCACCGCACTGATCCGATGGCAGGAACCAGGAGCCAGGTGCTTTTCCTGGTCTCCCATGGGGTGCAGGGCCCAAGCACCTGGGCCATCCTCCACTGCACTCCCTGGCCACAGCAGAGGGCTGGCCTGGAAGAGGGGCAACCGGGACAGAATCCGGCGCCCCGACCGGGACTAGAACCCGGTGTGCCGGCGCCGCTAGGCGGAGGATTAGCCTAGTGAGCCGCGGCGCCGGCCTTAAAATATCATTTTTTTATCATCATTATTCATGATTAGTTATCCTTTAATGATGCAGTTATCTACTTACTATTGTAGCTGCTTTATGAAATGGTGCTACTCGTCTATGTAAACTGTTGAACTTTGAATAAAAAGTATTTCATCACATTGGAGGTGAAATGAATCACCTTTTAAAGATGTTAGGCTTTGTAGTATCTGATCATTTTTGATTAGTTTTTTATTAAAAAAGTTTTGAACGAACTGAGAAGGTGGATCAGGAAATCCTACTTGCTATAACAGCTCCTAAATTAAATGTATGCACAGAATACTATCAACATGGCAGACGTATCTAAATTCTTACTACCATAGGCATTTCATGATACAAATCAGAAAAATTATGATAGTGAATAAAATGATTCAATGAATGTGTTCTGTCCTTTCAGAATTACATTTAATGTTTTCATTGATGGACAAAGTTCCTAATGGGATAGAGCCAATGTTGAAAGACTTGGAGGAACATATCATTAGTGCTGGCCTGGCAGATATGGTAGCAGCTGCTGAAACTATTACTACTGTAAGTTTTCTTCAATGGCAATGGTAGATGTATATCAACTTTATTTTTTAAATGTAAGCTTGGATAATTAAACTTAACTGAAAGAACAAAACAGCAATGTTGAAAAGCCTTTTTATTTTCAAGAAGAAATTTTCCCAATATTAAGACTACATTCTTTTATTGTTTTATTTGTATTTTTGATTTCTGATATTATCTTCCTTTTGAAACTCATATAAAACATTTTGTTTCTAGGACTCTGAGAAATATGTTGAGCAGTTACTTACTCTGTTTAATAGATTTAGTAAACTCGTCAAAGAAGCTTTTCAGGATGATCCACGATTTCTTACTGCAAGAGATAAGGTATATATCTGTATATTAACACTTACATTAAAGGTGTTACTATCATAATTTAAACCTTTAATAGGTGATATACACTATTATACTATTAAATTGCAAACTAATAACCTAACAACTCTTAATTTTTTCATCAGTGGGGAGCAGCCATAGTTATTACATCTGATTTGTTACACTCATGTTTTTGTAAGCATTGCCTATTCTGTGAACTAGAATTTAGCTTTAAAATTGTTCTGTTCTTCGTTTTCCCAAGAATGTTTTCCTGTTTTTGAATATTACAATCACTGAACTCCTGTTCACCCTTCCTTTAAGACCAGCTTGTAGTGTGCTCCCCTCTGGAACTTGCTGGATTGATACCTCATCCACCTCCATCTCCAGAGTTTATGCCAAGCAGAGTTGATTCCTCCATCTACTGTCCTTGCATAGGGTTCCTTTGAGTTATTTCAGGATTTATCCTGGCCTCTCAGGGAAGTATTTGCATTGTATAGAAACTTTCTGCATCCTGACTAGGAGAAGATAATAATGATAATGAAACATCGTATTGTCCATGAAGTTGTATCTTTTGAAATGTCATAAACCTGTCACAAGAAAGTACTGTTAGGGGCTAGTGTTGTGGTGCATTAGTTTAAGCTACTGGCTGTGAAGCTGGCATTCCATATCAGTGCTGGTTAAGTTCCAGCTGTTCTACTTTCCAATCCATCTCCCTGCTAACGTACCTGGGACAGTAGTGGAAGATGCCACCCACCACATGGGAGACCTGTACAGAGTTCCCGGCTCCTGGCTTCCACCTGGCCTAGCCCTGACTATTGTTGGCCGTTTAGGGAGAGAACCAGAGGATGAAAGATCTCTTTTCTCACTTTCCCTCCTAATACTCTGCATTTCAAAAAAATTAACCTGTTTTTTAAAAAGAAATTATTTTTAGTTTTTTAAATCTCTTCAACTACCCTTAATTACTTTCCATGTTAGATTTTTTTAATGAAGCTAAAAACACAGCTTTCTCCAGTAGGCTTTTTCCCTCACTTTTTTGGTCCATTTAAAAGGAAGGAAGGGAAGGAGGGAGGGAGGGAGGGAGGAGTGTAGACGTGGAGGGGTCATTTGAAATCTTAAACTGAGCAGCCTACTAAGGCCTTGCTGAGATGATGTTGAGTCAGAACTGATGGTGATGAAGGAATCAGTCATGTGGTTATTTAAGACAAGAGTTTTTTCAGCTAGAGGAAGCAATGCCTGTAAAGGCTCCCTGGCAGGAATACAGTTGTCATGTTCCAGGAACGGGAGAAGAGACCACTGTGGCCAGAGTAGATGGAGTGAGGGGGAGAATATTAAGAAATAAAGTCAAACAGGAAATGGAAGGCCAGATCATGGAAGACTGAGCCATGGTGTAAGGAACTTTGTTTTTACTGTGAGTAGGATTGAAAGTCACTAAAAGATGTTGAACAGAGTGATAAAACCTGATTTATATATTAAAAGAATCACTGTGACTATTGTAAAAAAAAAAAAAAAAAAAAAAACTGAAAGAGCTAAGAAGCAAGAATGCCAGTTAAGGATTTATATAAATAATTTAGTTAAGTGATGATGGGGGTCATCCCTGAGTGGTTGTGTGGTTGTGGAGGTATTCAAAAGTGCTGGAATGTTTCTTTTTCTTTTTTGAATAGAAATACTTTGGGAAATGAGAGTAACATGTATAGAAAGGTGGGGGCAGGGGAAGATTATAAAGGGAAGGAATGGTGGTACACAGAGTCTGCTATTAAGATGGCTCAGCCGGCGCCGCGGCTCAATGGGCTAATCCTCCGCCTGTGGTGCCGGCACACCAGGTTCTAGTCCCAGTCAGGGCGCTGGATTCTGTCCCGGTTGCTTCTCTTCCAGGCCAGCTCTTTGCTATGGCCCAGGAGTGCAGTGGAGGATGGCCCAGGTCCTTGGGCCCTGCACCCGCGTGGGAGACCAGGAGAAACACCTGGCTCCTGGCTTTGGATCAGTGCGGTGCGCTGGCCGCAGCACACCGGCCGTGGCGGCCATTGGAGGATGAACCAATGGCAAAGGAAGACCTTTCTCTCTGTCTCTCTCTCTCACTGTCTAACTCTGCTTGTCTAACTCTGCCTGTCAAAAAAAAAAAAAAAAAAAAAAAAGATGGCTCTGCAGTGAGCTGCCATAGCTTATTCCTGGAGGTATTAAAAAAACACTGCTCAAAGTTATCCCACTTGTGAGGTGTTGATTCCTTCATATTTCTAATCTACACGAGTATAGGCAGCACAAATTTCCATAGTCTTAGAAAGGGCACCTTTAGGTACAGGTGCAGATACCACCAGTGGGAAAAGACTGAGGGGTATGAGCAAAGTTTGACAGCATCTGTTATACTAGCTGTGTAGCTTGGAATTAAAAGATAAAAATGACAGCAGTCTGTAAAAGTGGGAGGCTTTTTGACTGACTACTTTTCTCTGCAGCCCAGTGAGATCTTTCCTCTTAAATCATGTTCTTTGAGTACTCTTCTCCACCCCCACTGATGCTCTGCTGGTCTGTGCTGCTGTCATCTCACTGTCTAACTCTACATACCTTTGAGTTTACATTTAATGTCACTTCCTTTTTTTGAAAAAAAAAAAATATTGTTTATATTTAAGGTATACACATGATGTTCCAGTATACATATAAGTTGTAAAAGGTTACTATAGTGAAGCAAATTAACATATCCATAAGCTTCCGTAGTTACCTGCTTTCTTTGTTTTTCTAGCAAGATAACTAAAACCTACTCATTTAACATTAATCTCAGTATAATTTTATTACCTACATCCTTGTGGTATGCGTTAGATCTATTGACTTGTTCATCCTGCATATCTGCTGCTTTGACCTACCTCTACCCATTTCTTTTCCCTGCCCCTGATGACAACTGTTGTTTTCTATCTCTGCATGCTTGATTTTTTTTTTAAAGATTTATTTTATTTATTTGAAAGAGTTACAGAGAGGGGTAGAGCCAGAGAGAGAGGTCTTCCATCTGCTGGTTCACTCCCCAGATGGCCGCAATGGTTGGAGCTGCGCTGATCCGAAGCCAGGAGGCAGGAGCTTCTTCCAGGTCTTCCATGTGAGTGCAGGGTCCCAAGGACTTGGGCCATCTTCTACTGCTTTCCCAGGCCACAGCAGAGAGCTGGATCGGAAGAGGAGCAGCCAGGAATAGAACTGGGCACCCCTCTGGGATGCCGGTGCTTCAGGCCAGGGCTTTAACCCACTGCACCACAGCGCCTGCCCCAAGATCACCTTCTTTTATGAAGGCTGAATGCTATTCCATTGCATATGTGTAGCATAGTTTCTTTATCCATTTGCCCACTGATAGATAATACGTTAATGTTTTTCTATATCTTGACTATTGTGAATAATAGTACAGTGAGCATGGGAGTGCAGATAACTATACAGTGGTGATTTCATTTTTTGGGTATATATTTACAAGGAGGGATTGCTGGGATTCTGATTAGATATGAAAACAAACTACAAGACTTTCAAATGAATCAGATGTAGACTGTGATAGATATTAGTTAAAAATGACAATGAGGGACTGGCATTATGGCACAGTTTAAGCTGCTACTTGAGACAGAGGCAATGGCATCCCATATCAGAATGCAAGTCATAGCTATTCAGCTTCCAATTCAGCTCCCTGCTAATGTGTCTGGGAAAGCAGTGGAAGATGGCCCAAGTGCTTGGGCTGCTGCCACACACATGGGAGACTCATAGAATTCCAGGCCCTGGCTTCCGTGTGGCCTTGTCCTAGCTGTTGCAGCCATTTGGTTAGTGAATCAACAGATGGAAGAACTTGATCTCTCTCGCTCACTCGCTCTCTTTCTCTCTCTCTCTGTAGCTGTGCCTTTTAAATAAATCAATAAATCTGAAAAGACAGTGAGGTTTGTTTCTGATCATTTAGAAGGAAATGTTTAATGTGATGGGAAAGGCTGTGGAAGAAGTAGGATGGATGATGGTTACAGATCAGAACTACACCTCTGAATAAGTTAACTGAAACGTCTATTAAGCATCTGTGTGGCATTGTTGAATCCAGGAGAGAATGGGACTAGAAAAATTTATTTGGCAACTTTAGCACATAGATGATTTTTAAAGCACTGACTATGGATCTGTGATCATCAAAGTAATGAGTGAAGATGGAAAAGAGAAGGGATCTAAGAATTGGCTAGGGTGTTTTGATTATATATTTAGTTGTTAGAAAGATGAACAGCCATCTTTCCTAAGGAGAGAAGAAAATGAGCAGAATGTGCAGGAGAACATGAAATGCTAGGAAACAAGTGGAGAAGGTACTTTCCTGAGGGGGCCACTGTGTTTTAAAACACTACTGCTAATGAGGATTAACCAGTGTCTTCAGCAAAATGGGGCTTGTGCATGACTTTGAGAAGAAAAGTTGAGTGGAGTAATGGTAAGAAAACCTTGCAGTAGTGGTTTTCAATAAGAATATAGGCAAGAAATTGGAGACAGTGAGTTATATTAATTTTTCTTGGAACGTAGCTAAAGGGAAGGAGAGAAATGGAGTATTAGTTGACTGTGGACAAAGCTAGAAGATAAATTTTAAGATGTAAAAATGATGATTTTTATTAGGCTGAAAAAACAATAAGGAATGAAAAATGCACATATGTATTTTGGAAATGTCATGATTTAGCTCTGTACTTGTATTTTAAGTATTTAAAACAAAGTTTATATTTCAAATTATTTTTGCAGGCGTATAAAGCAGTTGTTAATGATGCTACAATTTTTAAACTTGAATTACCTTTGAAGCAGAAAGGGTAAGTTTTTAAACCATATTTTTAAAAAATACTTATATGTTTGGAATATTTTATGTTATTAGGTTTGCAGAGTGCCTCTTAGCTTTGTTTTGTTGATTGTTACTTTTATGATTTGTGTTGCCTTTTGCTGTTAAAAAAGAGATATAGTTTTGTGTTAAATTACTTTTATGACCAAAAGTATTTTTTTAAGTAGAAAATTTTAGAATCTCTACTTGATCATTCTTTCCTCATTAATCACTAAAAGGATTGTACTACTATAAAAACATAGGAAATATTTCCCAATTCACTAGTGTTATTAATGAAGTCAATTTTTAAGTGAATTTTTAAATTACCATTTAAAAAATTGGTCTCCTTGGTAAGATGAATTTGCTTATGCTAAGTACAGTTTATAGAAATAAAAAAATAAAATATGGGAATAAATCTGAGCTAATTATAGTAACAGTACAAGTAGCAATAAAAGCTAATTGGGAAAATCCTTTTGATGTATTTTCTAGCTGCAAATTACTGGTTTAAAGAAATTTTTAGTATATTATATTTGAAAAAATGTCATTTCTTAAGGTAAAGTGGGTTAGGTATTCTTTTATTTTGGAGCTGTTTAAGTTGATTGAGTGGCACTGTGATGGAAGACACATGAATCATAGTATATTATAGTAGTTGACATATTTTAGAAAGCTGTATATCATAGTCTCTATTATTTATTTATTTTATTTGAAAGACATAGTTAGAGGGAGAGACAGAGAGAGAGAGATGTTTTGTCTGATTGTTCAGTCCCTAAATGGCCACAAAAGTCAGGCCAAAGCTAGGAGCTTGGAGCTTCTTCTAGGTCTCCCACATGGGTGACAGAGGAAAAATCTTGGGCCATCTTTTACTGCTTTCCCAGGCTCATTAGCAGGGAGCTGGATCAGAAGTGGAGTAGCTGAGTCTTGAGCTGGTGCCCATATGGGATACCAGCATCACAGGTGGTTTAACTCACTGTACCACAATGCCAGCCCATCACTTTCTCATGTATAAATTATGAAATATAGCTCTGTTGTCTTGACAGCCTCATTGTATAAGTGCATAGAGATCTTCCTCCTCCTTCTCTACTCAGGCATTTTTTAATGAAAATTTTCAGAGTTACAGTACTATCGCAATAACTGCTTTATCAAATATATATCTCCCTATGTACAGTTGACCCTTTTTATCCATAGGTTCCATTTCCCAGATTCAATCAACCACAATTGAAAATATTGGGGACAAAAAATAGTGTCTGTCCTGAATTTATGCAGATCTTTTTATTCATGTTATTATTCCCCGAACAATGTAACAACCATTTAAATAGTGTTAAATGTTTGGGAGGATGTGCATAGGGTACATGCAAATACTGTGCCATTTTGTGTGTGGGACTAGAGCATCCTCAGCGTTTAGTATCCATGGGGGTGCTACAGCTAATCCTTTTCAGATACCAAGGGGAAACTAATGTTCTTCATTTAAGTTGTTTTTTTTTTTATATATTTTTTTCAAGATTTATGTTATTGAAATACAGTGTTATGCTGGAGGAGATAGAGAGATTTTTCTATCCACTAGTTCACTCCACAAATGGATACAACAGCCAGGTCTGAGCTAGGCTGAAGCCAGGAGCTTCTTCCAGGTCTCCCATGTGGGTGCAGGGACCATAGGGCTTGAGCCATCTTCCACTGCTTTCTCAGGCACATTAATGGAGCTGGATCAAAAGTGGAGCAGCCAGAATTTGAACCAGCAACCACATGGGATGCTGGTTTTGCAGGCAGCGGCTTAACTTGTTACAGTGCCAGCCCCATCAGTCCCATTTTTAATTCATTTTTAAAGAAGTTGCAGACATTAGTAGCCCTTACTCCCTAAATACTTCATCATACAGTCATTAATTGAATTTGATATTTGTTTTGAGGAAAATTTTACACAGTCGTATATATGTCTTAAATAAAAATAGACTCAAATTTGACAAATGCCTGTGTCCATTAATATGTACAATACTTCCATCACCATAGTATTGTCTCATGCCTGTTCCTAGTCAATCCTATCCCACCTCCTTCAGGAGACAACTATTGATCTGATTATTTGAACACAGATTAATTTGACCTGGTCTAGGTCTTTACATAAATGGAATCATATAAGTTCAATACATACTTTTTTTTAAAAAAAGAAACATTGATTGACTTGAAAGGCAGAGTTGGGGGGGTACTGAAACAGAGAGCTCTTCCATCTACTAGTTCACTCTCCCAAATAGCTGCAATAACAAGGGCTAGAGCAGATGAAAACCAGGACCCAGGAGCTTCATCCAGGTCTCCCACATGGGCATGGGCCCCAAGTACTTGGGCCATCTTCTGCTTTCCTAGGCACATTAGCAGGGAGATGTGTGGGGAGCAACCCGGACTAGACTAAGTTACTGGAATTAAGACTTATTCTAGGCCGGCGCCGCGGCTCACTAGGCTAATCCTCCGCCTAGCGGCGCCGGCACACCGGGTTCTAGTCCCGGTCGGGGCTCCGGATTCTGTCCCGGTTGCCCCTCTTCCAGGCCAGCCCTCTGCTGTGGCCAGGGAGTGCAGTGGAGGATGGCCCAGGTGCTTGGGCCCTGCACCCCATGGGAGACCAGGAAAAGCACCTGGCTCCTGGCTCCTGCCATCGGATCAGCGCGGCGCGCCGGCCGCGGCGGCCATTGGAGGGTGAACCAACGGCAAAGGAAGACCTTTCTCTCTGTCTCTCTCTCTCTCACTGTCCACTCTGCCTGTCAAAAAAAAAAAAAAAAAAAAAAGACTTATTCTATGCATCTGCTCTCCCACAATATGGCGCTGGGAGAGAAGAAAACAGCTTCTGCACAGCTGCCTCCAGTTCAGCCAATAAACTGTAGGACTTGCTCCTGATTGGAGGAGAGCAGCGTACTCGGCGTGTGGGCAGCCGAGTTGGGATTGGCAGAGGAGGACTATAAAGGAGGAGAGAGACGGCATGCACCAGGAACATCTAAGGGGAACATCTAAGGGGAACACCTGTGCAGCCCCCGAGAGAGCCGGCCGGCGATGTGCCGCTCCCCTGCGGAAGTGGGGAATGTGGCCAGGGGGAACTGCCCTTCCACGGAGGTGGAAGGGACAGTAGCCAACCCAGGAAGAACCAGCAGCAAACCCGGGGAGGGCCGAGCAGACGAAAGAACAGCGCAGGGTCCTGTGTCGTTCCTCCACGAAGAGGGGGAGCGACATAATGGTGCCGTGACTCGGATAGGAAACCTAGGACGGATAGGAAACCTAGGACGGATAGGAAACTTAGGAGGGAAGAAACGGGAAGAAGTGGAAAATATCGGAGAGAGAGACTAGCAAACAGCCTAGGGAAAAGCCGGACGAAAAAGGTGCCGGAAGAAGCTATTGAAAGCCTAGGCGTAGACTTGGATACGGACTACGGGGGGAAGCTGGGAGAAATCTCTAAGGTCGAAAGCGAAAGTGAAAGCTAGAACAAACTCGGATGCGGACTGTGGGGAGAGGCCAGGAGAAGTGGGGGAGGAGTATTGTTGGAGGAAAGCTTGGGGAAACATACCGGGTAGAGAAAAATGTTAGGGAAATTGAAGCCGCGGGGGGCAGGCCGAGGCGGAGACGAAAGCCACTTTGGGATTCTCAAGTTAGCCCGGGAATAGGGGGCGAAAAGTTAAAACCAGAAGCAGAAACGTAAGCCCGGTTGGGATCCGTCTGATTAGCCCGGGGAGCAAAGGACGGGAAGCCAAATCGTGGGGCGGAGACGTGAGCTGGGTTGAATTCGCCAGGCTAGCCCGGGGAACTTAGATTGAATGCTAATGGCGGAGACGTAAGCTACGCTGTGTGACTCGCGGAGGCTGCCGCGCGCAGACAGAGCGCGCGGGGCTCAAGTAGATAGGGAACGCTGGGCTAAGTGAGAGACCGCGGAGTGTGCGCGCGAAGCCGAGCCACGCAGAGCCGCGAAGCCGCGCAGATGAGAGAGGCGCGAGCTGAAGCGGCTCAGAGCCGGAAAGCCGCCGAGAAGCGGCTTCGGGGCGGGCACCGGAAAGCCGCAGGGATAAGAGAAACAGAAGTTTAGAAGTAAAATGAGAGAAATAGGAATGCTGGAAGATAGAAGTAAAATGGGAGAAATAGGAATGCCCGGAGATAGAGAAATAGAGAAATAGAAAGGCCTCCCCTCAACATGGCAATGAGAAAGCTTGGATTCGGTCTGCCTGATTAGGGAGGCGGTGAGCACCTGCGGGCGGCTAGCAGCTTATGCGCCGCAGGTCACCGAAGACAGGCACGAATTAACATCAGTAAGGCCTCCCCACAATACCGCAATTAGAAGGCTTGGATTCGGTCTGCCCGATTAGTGAGGCGATGAGCACCTGCGGGCAGCTAGCAGCTTATGCGCCGCAGGTCACCGAAGACAGGCACGAATTAACATCAGTAAGGCCTCCCCACAACACAGCAATGAGAGGGCTTGGATTCGGTCTGCCTGATTAGTAAGGCGATAAGCACCAGTAGGCAGCTCGACCAGAGTATGAGCTGCAGGTCACCGAAGATAGGCACGAACCAACACTAATAAGTCTCCCCCACAATATGGCAATGAGAAAGCTTGGATTCGGTCTGCCTGATTAAGGCGGTAAGCACCAGCAGGCGGCTCGACCAGAGTATGAGCCGCAGGTCACCGAAGACAGGCACGCATCAGCGCCTAAAAACCTCCTCACAACATGGCGAAGAGAGGACCCGGATTCGGTTTGCCTGATTGATAGGACTTGTAAGAACCTGTGGCAACTCTAGCAAGCAGAGCAGAGTGTGTGCCGCGGGACACCGAAGACAGGCGCGTATCAACGCCAAAAAATAAAAAGAAAGGGGGATCTGTGGGGAGCAACCTGGACTAGACTAAGTTACTGGAATTAAGACTTATTCTATGCATCTGCTCTCCCACAATATGGCGCTGGGAGAGAAGAAAACAGCTTCTGCACAGCTGCCTCCAGTTCAGCCAATAAACTGTAGGACTTGCTCCTGATTGGAGGAGAG